AAAGAGCCTAAGAGAAATTAAACAAAGGGTATGGTTGAATCACGACCAGGTTTTTAACACAATTTAGCAAGAAATTCCTCAGTATGTAGCTCTAAAGATTTGTTATTTCCATTTGCATATATTTAATAATATTTCCTAATTGCATCACAGTAATTTTTAAGTTGCATCACATCAAGCCTGAGAATATTTTAGATGTCTGCAGCAAGAGTTCTATTGGCTTGGGGAAAGCCAAACAATAAAGGAGGAAACAGGAGACGCGTGGAACTTTTCCTGTCTTTTTAGCTCAAATACAGCCTCAAGCCCTTCTAGTGTCAACTTCAAAAAAACCAGTCAATGACTAGGTGCTCCAAAACCTAGATATATAAAAGCAGGAGGAGCTTAGATGGTATTTAGGAGAAAACAAGGTGAAAAATGAGCGCTACAAACTTGTGATTATCAGGTTCTGTTACTACCACCACCTTCTGCACGCAAGTTAGTGGCTGTATTTACTCTAAACTACAATCCCTTGTTATGGATTGAGAGAGAACGTGTTATAGAAGAACACAAAGACATTGGAATACCCCAGCAGAGGACGAATACGTATCATAGCCCATAAAACTGATCCCTTCTACTGAGGAAAAACATCTTGTTTATGTAAGATAAAACAGACCCTATTTATTAAGTCTACTTGCTATGTTGAGGACCTACTATCTGCATGGCAGCCCACAGTAATACTAGAATTTTGTACACATTATTGTCACACTGAGGAAAAACATCTTGTTTATATAAGATAAAACAGACCCTATTTACTTAAGTCTACTTGCTATGTTGAGGACCTACTACCTGCATGGCAGCCCCCAGTAATACTAGAATTTTGTACACATTATTGTCATATCTATAAATAACTTCGCTATACTTAGAAAACAGAAAGCAAATTCTTGTCTCACCTGACTTTAATTTTTTGGATGCTACGTCATCTGCTGGCAACGGACATTTTCTTCTGCGAGAAGTGGAAATTGCCGGTTGTGTAGGGTTAACCTCTTTTCCTTTTCCAGAGCAATTATTTTTTTTGGAACCAGTGGATGTCAAACACACATTTTGAGTTTCTGAAGTGCTACCGTTTTCTGGCAAGTCACCGTTTTTACAGATAGAAGTAGCTGCCTCTGATGTGAATTCTACCTTTTTCCTTTTATTCCTCAATTGCCTTGTTTTTTCCTGGGATGAATTATTTTCTAGAGATGCATCTTCACCTCCTTTAAGATTCTTCTTTTGACCTCTATCTTTGGGCAAGCCAGGTTTGTCCTCGATTAAAGCGGAACTAGTTTCTTCGGATTTGGAAGAAATGGCTCTCTTTCTGCCCACTCTTGACGGATTTTCTTTTGCAGATGGAGCTACTTCCAAAAGCATACTCTGTTGTTCTTCAGGAGCTTCATTCTTACCATCTTCTGGCAAGCCTTGAAGCGAGGTGGAACCAACAGCCAGTGAAGGGTTTGTTTGCCTTGAGTTGCCTTTTGAAAGATCCATTTTTTCTTGGGATGTAGAATTTTCCAAAATCAGCTTTTCTGCTTCCCCAGAATTATTCCTTCTACCACTTTCTTTTGATAAGCCCCGTTTTCCCCGAATAGAAGTAGAACTTGTGGCTTCTAACAAGAGGGAAATTTCTTTCCTTCTGCCTTTTCTTGGTTGATTTTCTTTTACAGATGAATCAAAAGTTTCTAATGGAACATTTTGATCTTCTTTAGGAGCTTCTTCTCTACCATTACCTGCTGGCAAACCGTGTTTTCCTCTAAGAGGAAAGTAATTAGTCGTGTGTGATGCCAGAGCAGTTTCTTTCCTTCTGCCCCTTCCTAAAGGCTTCTCTTTTGCACAGGACACCGGTTCCAAAGGCATATTTTGTTCTTCATTAGCACTCTCCTCTTTATCATCAGTTTCTGACAAGCCACATTTTCTCTGGAGTGAAGATGAACTTTTTGCCTCTGCTGCTACATCAATCTTTCTCCTTTTGTCCCTTGCTGATGCATTTGCTTTTGCCTGCAAATTTTTATCTCCCAAAGCTGGATTTTGATCTCTCACAGTCATCTTTTTATCATCACCTTCTAGCAACCCACGTCTTTTTCTGACGGAAGGAGATCTAGATGTTTGTGCTGCTGCAGCAACCTCTCGTCTTCTCCCTCGTCTCAGCAGATTGTCTTCTGCTGAAGAGGGAGTAGCTTCCAAAGCTGAATCTTGCCCCTTTACAAATGCCTCATCTTTACTATGATCTGCAATTAATGTTTGTTTTTCCACAAAGGTAGAACAAGGCATTTGTGGCATGGGATCAACTTGCTTTCTTCTGCTCCTCCTTACTTGTGAAGAAGGATTTTCTGAAGTCTCACGTTGACCATCGTTGTAAGTCATTCCTTTCTCATCCCCAGGTAAACTCCTTTTTCCTTCAACCCCTTTGGAACTGGCTGCTTCAAGTTCAAAATTAACTTTTCTACCTCTGCCTCTTCTACACGCGGTTCCATTGTTTTGTGCTTGATTCTCTTGCAGGATTTCAGTTTGCTTTGGTTTAAGTATTCCCTGTTCAATTCTTGTCCGCTTTTGACGGCTAAGAGCAAGACTGTCACTGTTTGCAGCAGGTATTGATGTGCCAGCTGGGTTGCTCTGGTCCTTTGTGACTTGGTATGTGTTCTTGACACAAACAGAGCTCAAAGAACCTTTGAGAGAGGATTCGTCCATTTCTGTTTCTGACTTAAATCTGGGACTAATTAGTTCTTCGGCAAATTCATCAGTCTTTTTCTCCAAAGAGTCATTTTTGCCTCTCCTGTTTCTAGTTCTATTTGTTTCTTGTACTGCACTTCTGTTTGCTTCCAAGTTCAGAGCAGTAACTGGCATTTTGTTTGTCTCTCCAGAAGATGACTCTGCCTTTAATCTTTGAGATGCCTCTGTTGTATTTTCCTGAGCATTTTCTGTTTTGACTCCCTGAGATACTTTAATCTCATTTTTGATGTGTGATTGTGTTTCAGTATCAGTTCCAGCTGAAGTTTCCTCAGTTTTCTGAATGTTTTCTATATTTTCAAGTGCCATTCCACAAATGTCTGCTTTTACTTCAGTTGAGTGCTTTCTAGCACTTCTTAAAGACCTAACTCTTTTCTCTATTATCTCAAGTTTAGTTCCGCTTTCAGATTCTTCTGCTGGGGCAGTCTCAGTATCTTTGTCAAAAGTCTGTTCATCTCTTTGTATCATCTTTGCTGATGGGTCTTTGCGAAGCCTCCTTGCTGCCCCATGAAGGTTATCTGAACAAACTTGTTTAACTTGGTCATTTCTAGCTCTTCTTCCTCTTTTAGGTGGAATCAGTGATTCTGTGGTTTCTACGTTTTTTACTCCTCTAGACCTCTTCCCAGACGACAGAAGCATTTCTTCACTGTCTTCCACACCACCTCCATTGGATTTGTTTTCATTTTTCTTTAAGCCTGTTTGCAGTTGACAGTTTCCATTTTGAATGCTACTAGATACACCTACTGTCTTTACAGTTGGACCATCTTCAGTTTCTAGTACATCACTGATGCCATACTCCTGCGAAGTTTCTTTCATATTTGCAGGTTCTTTTTGTGGCACTGAAGGATCTTTGCCACAAGACTCAAGATTCTCACTTGAATGTTTTAACTCCTTTGGTTCTTTCCTTCTACCTCTTCCTGATCTTTGAGTAGCCCCATGTGGTTCCACAAATGAAGCAGTTTCAGCTTTTTCCTGATCAGGGTGCTCTGAAACATTTTCTTCTTGTATGCAGTGGTTTGCTCTCCTTCCTCTTCCTTCGTTTTTAGCTACTGAAGTTGAAGTACTGATCTCTCCCGTCTCCTCTTGAGTGCTCGTTTTTTCCAGGCCTTGTAATTCTTTTAAATTCAAATCCTTTTCATACTGCTTTGCTGAAGCAGAATTTACTGTCTTCCGTGATCTGCCCCTTGTTGGTCTCTGGGTAGACTGGTCTTCACTACTTGATTCCTTCTGTTGAGAATCTTCACCTTGTGAAGTATTTCCTTTGTCTTCTAAAACAGGTTTTTTTTTTTTTCCCCCCCATTCAAAGTTTTTACATAGAAAAGAGCACAAACAGAAGTTACACATTACTATGCCTGATCAAAGTATCTGTGACTTTAAATTTTCCTAACAGTCATCTTCCTCAAACAAATCACACTTAATAGCCTTAATGTAAAAATAAATAAATATTTTTAACCAACTCCTACATTAAAGGCCAGTCTTCTGACCAAAGATGTTCCGTTTATTTGGTAGGTAGCTTTCATAGGTTTAAGCTATGTTCTTGAAAGTCTTTGCAAAGAAAGGGAAGTGGAGAACTTAGCATCAGGTTTTTTACGCTGGTATGTTTGGAGAAGCCAACATTACCACACCAACAAGCTACTACACCATTACTTCTACACCAATAGAATTCCAGCACCTCACGTTCATTAGGGATGATTGCACAAATTCCATGAGCTATGCATGCTTTGCGCTGCATATTTTTTAATTTTTAAAACATGTTAAAACTTCATAATAACATATATTACCTTGTATATTCTCTATTCCTCTAGCTAAAGCAAAAAGTATTTCAACTTACCATATTTATGACTGGAATTAGTACACAGAGGTGCAGTATCTTCTTGCTTAGAATCCGTAACATTTACTGATCTGACCTAAGGGAGTAAACAATAATCAATCAATGCATGTCTGACAGGACAAGAAATAATGGAGCCAAGAATACAAAATTAATGTATAGTAATAGTTGAAAAGAGTCTTGTCAAATACCTTTCTCTAAAAATGAAGTCAACTTTGTTTTGCAACTGCATCCATGTATTTGATACCAGCACACAAATATATCAAACTTAATACCTGCCTTCTGAGCTAGTGTAGCAGTTTTTAAAGTGAAAGTTAATAAACACTGCACAGAGTTAAAAAAAAGTATTAATCAAATTGGCTGAAAAGTGTCTAAATGAGTGCTCAAAAGGAATTTGTGGTATCGAAGCCGAATCATCTGAGTATTTTATAGGGTTTTATTGTAGTTCTACACCGATAAGCACTAAGCCCAGTGATACTCGACATTTTACCTATGGATCTGGGAATGAACATAAAAATCAATACTAATAAAATTCACAAATGACAAGAGTGATGAAGCTGTGAATTATAAGGTCAGAATGGTTACTCAGAGCAACCTCAGTAACTACTTCCACAGGATTTCTTCAAAAAAAATACATATTAACACAGGCAAATGTACAGTGATAAAGCTAGCTCTATAAAATAAGCATCCATTCAGGAAGCAATGACTTAGGGGCACAGTAAGCAATCAACTGATCACATGGTAACACATTTGTCAAATGCTCAACACTTTTGGATGCACAGAGAAAAAGAGCTTAAAATGTAATCTGTAGGGTATGAAGCAGCTGTACAAAACAAAAAAAACCAACCACATGCCTTGCTTACGAAAAGGTGGAGAAAGAATTTGAACATAGTTTGTAAGCAATTTAAAGGGTCTTTTGAACATAACAGGAACAAGTGACAAGAAAAAAACCCTTCAGATTCAAATTTCTAATAAGCTGTGTCTTCTAGCAGGGAGGCATTCACCTTGGACAAAGCTATCAAGGGGAAAAAAAAAAAAAAGATTGCCATCTTTACTGTTTTCAAGTGAACACAAGGTGCTTTTCCAGAAGGTATCTTTTCCTCCAGAGGTTACGGGCATGACATATTTGAAAGTACTGTAACATAAAACATGTCATACTAGGAGGCCTAAGAATTCATTTCAACTACAGGCTTCAAAGTCTAAAAACATTCCTTCCAAAAGCTAAAGAAAGTATTTTACCTTAATTTCCTCTGGGCTGCCAAATATTTCTGTAACTCCAACATAGTCCACTTCAGAATCAGAACATTTCTGCCTGGGTTCTGCCATAAGCCTTTGCAGACCCACAAAATCATCAACTGGTTGATACTTCTCTCTCGGAGTCTTCACTAGTCTACTAATACCAAACATATCTTCTATGGGTTCAACTTTTTCCTTTGGTGTCTTGAAAATACGGCTGACCCCAATCATGTCTTCTACTGGTTGATATTTCAGCTTTGGAGTTTTCTTGATTAAAGTAACACGTGCCACATCTTTTACTGCTTCCCTTTTTTGTACTGGAGTCTTCAGCAACCTTTTAAAGGCAGTTTCATCTGTAATAGGTTCCAAGTCTTGCTGTGGGGTCCTCAAGAGCTGCTTGATGCCTGACAGGACCTCAACTGGCTCTGGCTTCTGCCGTGGGGTTCTCATGAGCCGCTTGATGCCCGATAAGACCTCGACTGGCTCCAACTTTTGCTCTGGTGTCCTTAAAAGCTGCTTAATGCCCGACAAGGCCTCTACAGGCTCCGACTTCTGCTTCGGGGTCTTCATGAGCTGCTTGATGCCTGACAAGGCCTCTACAGGCTCTGACTTCTGCTTCGGGGTCTTCATGAGCTGCTTGATGCCCGACAAGGCCTCTACAGGCTCTGCCTTTTGCTTCGGGGTCCTTAAAAGCTGCTTGATGCCTGACAAAGCCTCTACAGGTTCCAACTTCTGCTTCGGAGTCTTCATGAGCTGTTTGATGCCCGACAAGGCCTCTACAGGCTCCAACTTCTGCTTTGGAGTCCTCCTTTTACTTCCCAATTTCACCAGAGATGCTTGTTTTTCTGAAATTATTGACAAGCTATCCACATTAATATTTTCTTCCAGCGTAGTTTTTCTTTTTTCAGGAGTTCTTGTGGCTATTGCATCAAACATAGACTTTAGAGACCCCTTCTCTCTCAGAAAGTGACAAATTCCTGGACTATCTTGTTTCTGTTCTGAAGCATCTGAACTATTTAACGGTGACACCATCATCTCTCCTGAAATAAGTAGAAGATTTATTTCATTTGGAAAAAAGAATTAAGCAGAAACTCCAAGCATTCTAATTGCTGTATAACTAAGTAAAATGGATTCAAACAGCTGCAGCCTTCTACAAACCAAAATCCAAAAATGTGCATCAACAATTGATTTGGTAATTAGCTTCTACAAGGCACAGCATACATTTAAAAAGCAGAGTAAAAAATACTTGATTTTTTTTTTCTTATTGAATCTGATATAAAAATGTTTTCTGTTGTCCCTAAAATTTCTAGTGGTGCAAGGTTTTTATTGCAGTTTCCTTTGTGTTCTGAAGCAATACCAGACATAAATCAAATTTTCACGTTAAAGAACATACATTTGACCTTTCTGACACCAAGGATGAAACAAATGACAAGACATTTTTGTAAAATTTCTATCATGAAATCATAGAATATCTCAGGTTGGAAGGGACCCATAAGGATCACCGGGTCCAACTCCCTGCTCCTTGTAGGACTACCTAAAACTAAACCATATGACCAAGAGCGTTGTCCAGACGCTTGGTGCCACGACCACTGCCCCGGCGACCCTGTTCCGGGGATTGACCACCCTCCTCTAGACACACTCTCATGGTTCTTGTCCACAAGATCTTTCACCATCCTGGCCACCCTCCTCTGGACACACTCTCGTGGTTTGACGCCCTTCTTATATTGAGGCGGCACACAGTACTTGAGGTGGGGCTGTGCGAGTGCCATGTGGAGCAGGACAACCACCTCCCTTGACCAGCTACCTATGCTGTGCTTGATGCAGCCCAGGACATGGCTGACCCCTGTGGCTGCCAGGGCACACTGCTGACTCACATTCAACTTGCCATCAACCCAAAGCCCCAGAGCTCTTTCCATGGGGTTGCTCTCCAACATCTCATCCCCCAATTTGCATGTATAACCAGGATTAGCCCATCCCAGGTGGAGAATTTGGCACTTGCTCTTCTTAAATTTCATACGATTGGTTGCTGTCCAGCTCTCTTGTCTATCCAGATTTCTCTGTAAAGCCTCCCTACCCTTGAGGGAGTCCACAGCTCCTCCTAGTTTAGTATCATCAGCAAGCTTACTTAATGTACATTCAATTACTGTATCCAGATAATTTATAAAAACATTAAAAAGCACTGGCTTTACAGTTGAGCCCTTTGGGACCCCACTGGTGACCGACCGCCAGCCTGATGTAACCCTATTTAATGTAACTCTTAGAGCCTGACCCATCAGCCAGTTGCTCACCCAACATATTATGGACTTGTCTAGCTGCGTACTAGCCATTTTATCCAGAAGGATACTGTGAGAGACAGTATCAAAAGCTTTGTTACAATCCCAAAACACCATATCTATTGGCTTCTCTGGGTCAACTAGATGGGTGACCTTGTCATAAAAGGAAATAAAGTTGGTTAAGCAGGGCTTTCCCCTCCAAACCACATGCTGGCTATGACCAATGACAGTGTTGCCTCTCAAGTGCTTTTCAATACCTCCCAGAATAACCTTCTCCATAATTTTACCTGGCACTGAAGTGAGCCTGACAGGCCTGTAATTACCACCGTCTTCCTTCTTACTAATCTTGAAAATTGGAACAACGTTTGCCAGCTTCCAGACAACTGTGACCCCTCCAGACTCTCAAGACCATTAAAAAAATAACAGATCGAGGTCCTGCAATAACACCAGCCAGCTACCTGCAGTTTGCACGTGGCTTGTACTTGGAAAGACACTTTTCACAAATATTTGTTATGGTTCCTGCAGAGGCACTGACTTTTGGAGTTCTTGGATTCTTTTGTGTCCTGCTCATTATACATACAAGAAAAAGGATAATCAAGAGGAAAACTTGCAAAAAAGTAAAGCAAATTTTCTCTGGCTGCTTAGTGCCAAGATTTTATTTTCCTGCACTATTTCCTAGCACAGTAAGCACGAGCATTAGAACAAGCATAACCACACTGTTGCTCAATAGAAACAGCCATCATTCCTCCCACTAGTAAAAATTAACTGAAACAAAGGAAAGGTTATGGAAAAGAGTCATATTCCCTTCCTGAAACACAATTTAGACCAAATTTATAATGCCAGAAATGCTATTTCCAGAATAATATACTCAAACCCACGCCTTGAATATTGAAAGGCTAGCCTTGCTTTGGTCACGGAAAAAATACTGGAGCAGGTCCTCTTGAAACACACTTCTGGGCACAGGAAGACCAAGATGACTGGGAACAGCCAGCATCAATTTATCTGAGGGAAATCATATCCGACCCATCCAATTACCTTCTACAATAAAAAGAGCAGATTTGTGGATGAAAAGAGAGCGGTGACTATTATTTAATGCGACTTTAATATGCTTTTCAACACTGTCTCCCACCATATTTTGGTATCTAAACAAGAACATTGCAGGCTCTATGAATGGGCAACCGGGTGAATAAAGAACTAGTCGGATGAACGGGCTCTGAGACTTGCAGTTAATAAGTCTCTACCTGCAGGCCAGTAACAAGAGTACTGCAGGCTGGAGGAACAGGATAACTCTAGGAGTCCGTTATCCTTAACTACAACTATAATCTCAGTCTTAAAACTATGCCTCTTCATTTTAAAAGCATAACCCTCACCTTTAAACTAGAAATAAAGCACACATGTCTACTGGTGTCAGTTTTTAATCAAGGCTTGCAGGATCTACCAAGAATTTGCCTTTGTAGTTCCTATCCGGTCAAGTCCTAATCATAAGATGTTCAAGACCTTCCAAATTCATGGTCCAGCAGGATGAAGAAATAAACTGTTTTTTTCAATCCATATTCCCTAAATTATGAAACTTAAGTGTTCATGACATACAAAAGGATCCACATTTATAGAATCTAAGATTAAGGGCTTGCTTGCCCACCAATTTAAGGAAAGCACTAAGTAACAGGATAAATAACACAGCTGCTAACAGATATCTTCAAGTGGATGAAGATCACCCTACCAGTTGTTCTCAAAGAAAACACTTTTTACTGGACTCCCTTCTGAAGTTTTAACAAGGTTTGTTATACCTAAGCCTGTCTACCACAACATCTGAAATAAACCAAAATGCATTTCAATTATTATTATTACTATTTTAAATATGGGATGATCAATTCTTGATATTTCTGTGTGTTTCAGTAGATGCTGTTTCGCTAAATTCTCAAGATAACAGAATTTTCATTTCAAGAATTCCAAGTTATCCAGGGACACAATGACTGCCATGCAAGGTTATTAGCAAAAGTTGAACAACAAAGTACCGCCTTAATACAAATCGTTCTAACCTGACACCTCAAAAAAAAAAAAAAGAAAAATTAAATAGATTTTCTGCAAGGTTACACAATAACCTCTCCCTGCCATGAAACTTTGTCACTGGATTTAGATGCATCTGCAGACAACTGATTAAGGAAGTGCCATGCTTCAGTGCAAAATTTGCCTGAAACAATACTTCAGCATTTTGAGGTTTCATACCAAATAGAACGAATAAGAAAGAAACACATACTCAAAAATTAACTGGAACTACAAAAATGTCTATTAATACATGATAAAAATCAATGGCTCCTTTTATGGGTTACCAGATGCTTCATCTCAATACATCTAAGTCTGCCTAGGCTGAGACTACTTGCTGTCTCAAGGGGCAGACACACCACTACCACTAAATACACCCCAACATTTCCTTCCTTTTCAAAGAACAAACATACCAGATTCTTCAGGAGTGTGCAATTCAGAAATTTCCGCTGCAGTACACGTTGGTGTAAAATCAGTCTTCTGAACAGTGGCCAAGGGTAATGTTTTTCCACTCTTATCTTCTGGAGTTTGAAACATTTCAGTCATTCCTGTAAGTTATATTCAGAAGAAATGAGCATAAGCTTTGACAAAAGAACTACACAGTTGGCAGAGTGAACAACACACTTCAAAAACTTACCTGTGAAGCTTTCATCCATGTTCATGTTTAGCTTCAAGATAGGATTTTTTACCACTTTAGGGACCTGTCCAGCTGTCCTGACTGTGGTGGAATAAGCTCTACCTACAACTATTGTAGCAGGTGACTCTGCATGACCTGTACTAAAATGACCTTTTATTTTTCTTTCTGGAGTCTGCAGAGGGGAAAAGAATGGAGGGGGGGAAAAAAGTGAGCAAAGATTACTTCCATGTACAAGTCTACATTTCTTATACACTGTGACAAAGACATCAACACCCATTTAACATCATACTAAAAGCTCAAAAGCTTCCAGCTTCTGTAGCACGACACCTACAGAGCTGTTTTGTGGTTATGCAAAAACAAAAAAAGAAACATGAAAAAAAGAATAAGAATACCTTTGCTGATTGGGTTATCTTCTTTAGGGATCTTCCTTTTCGGACACTTTTTTTAACAGTCTTTGACTGTGGTCTTGCAACACCTAATTTTACCACTTCTGCCCAAGATTTTGCAACTAGAAAGCAAAAGAGAAATAATCGCTTTAATTCTCAGCTGTATAAATGGAAGTTCACCATTATTTCTTTGTGATTCCAATGGATTTGCTGCAGTCGGGCATAGGAAAGCAGCTGCTGCATCATCTGACAACACCTATATTAAAGTGCTCTGAGAAACACTTCCAGTTGGAAGACCTAATTTCAGCTGAAGTTTAACAAAGCGTCCAAGTACCCAGTATGGCTATTTCCACAACAAAACAACGACAAGCATCATACAGTGTCAAACAGATGTTAGATCCTAGAACTGAATGCTGACCCAATTCTGTCCTCGCTCTTTTTCTAAGGAAATAATTTTTCCCAATAGAAACTTGCCATGAGCCTTTCGGTCTCTTTCATTATTACACCTGAACTTTTCCCTGCTGGGACATGAGATTTAACATCAGAGAAATGGCTTCGAAGTGAAACATATCCAGCTTTTCTTTTACCACCTTCCCAAGGAATTTCATAGTCAGGAAATTACTTATTAATACTACTTACAGCATTTAGATCTACACAGACTTTCCGTATTTTTTCTTATATCACCTTCTCCTTATGACATACTCTAAAAACTCCTAAAGCAAGGTTACCTTTATCACAGCATCATTCTGTACACAGCAGAGGAATCAGGGAATTAGTTACAGCTGTGTAATAAATGAAGCTGTAAGTTGGTAGGACATCTGCCTCATTTACTTCAAAAATAGGCTATGAGCAGACAGGGATCGCATAAAAGAAATGATTAATTTTTTAAGTAGAGATAAAAAGGGGAATGCTGTTCCTGAATAAAAGAATGTTATTACTCTCTTGTCAGAAATGTGTGGAAGTTGGGGAAAGTCTGCAAATAAGAACTTTCAAAAGCTGCCATTGCTAGGGTGTTCAGGTTCCACAGAAAAATGCCAACCAAGCAGGAAATTATCTGAAAAAAGCACTGGAAACACAGTATTTCGGCTACAAAGTAGACATCCAAAATTTTTTAAGAACTGTGGTGTTCTTTTCATATTACAGAATAAACTGATGCACTGATATTAAAAACTACTTACACATTACAGAGGTGGTGAAAAATGGTATGGCATTAATATTTGTGAAGTACTCCAGTGCTATTAAAATGAACAGAAAATCCAAAGCCACTGAAAACAAACCCCACTTATTTCACTAAAAGACAAAGACCACTTTCAGCTGTATTAACTGGGAAGTATTGTGAAGGCCTGTGATTTTATCTCATCACGTAATAATGATGAGACCATCACTGGGACAAAGTTTTAAAATGGCACTACAAAAAAATGGAGATACTAAAGACTAATAAAAATTCCTGGGTGAATGGTGGAAAGCTTAATTAAATTAAATTGAAGAGTCAAATTGATTTAATGTACAAAAACAGATGACAAAAGACACCTTTATCTGTACATTTCCTCAAAGATAAAAATTTCAAGAACCAGAGCTCCCCTATCATAATGTTTCCAGTGCTGTCATAACTATTTCAAACCAGTGTTCAACATTCAAATTCAAATGTTCACATTCAAAATATGCAAATTAACACCTATTTATCACCCTATTTTTTAATCAAATCTGTCATATGCCACTGTCAACAGTTAAAACATGGGCAAAGGTTGTGAACTGTTTATAAAAAAAAAGGCACAAAGAAAACAAACTGATGCTAGATTGCTGTAAAGTGCACCTTTTCAAATCAGAATTGACGTAATTGATACAATTTGATTTAGTTCAATACTACTTGAAGGATCACTATTGCAACTAACCTTGCAAAGAGAACCTTAATTCTACTATTTTTCAACTTCTGAACATTAAGATTTGTGCTCTAAATACGGCTTTAGTAACATGAGAGAATGTAACACTTCTCAATTCCCACTTGTTCCCATCAAGTCCAACAACCATCAGAAGCCAGGCCAATCATTTGGTGGCCTCTGCATAATGAAACAATAGGCTTCCTTCAGTTTTGTTCCTGTATTTTAAAGCATTAAAATTAACATTAAAGATTAACTGCTGAAACAAACCTAGTAAATTGGCACTAGAGGCACCACTCCTCCTTTTTGCATTGATAACTGCTACAGCCCCACTTCTCCTCTTCATGGGAGTGACCTTTGAAGCAGGCTGTGCACTTCTTGTTAATTTGTCAGGTGTAGCCCTTAAAAAGGTTTTATCATCTTGGTTACTGTGAGAAGATTTAGGTGTTTTCACTTGGGCATCATTTTTCTCCTCTGTATCCACATCTTCTGCAACAGCATCCTTCTCTTCTGCAATTGGTAATTCTGTCATGACGTGAGAAACAGAGAAACGTCCTTTTGTGTATGGTGCTGGAGAGCCTAAAGTAATTGTAGGTGTTGCCTTCCCAGAGACAGGGGATGAGGCAGCTGTGGACTTTGGGGTTGGCAAATTTTTTGGTGATGTTTTTCCTTTCTGCAAATGTTCAGGAAGTTCCTGGTAGGAAAAAAAAAAAAAAAAACCACCAACCATAAAGATAAAATGTTACTGCACGTAGCTGAACTACAAGTGCTCATCTACATCTCTGACAAGTAAATACAATAGTATAAAATATCATCAGATCATTTGAAAAGGCCCTAAATGTTATTCTCTAAAAACTAACTTGTAACGAGATTTACATTTCAAAAGTCTCAAAAGACACGTGCAAATTCAACTGAATAAATTAACTGAACTTATTATTCGACTTTATACAAAAGTTTTGTTCACATCGCATACTACACACGTTTTAACTAGTTTAAATCAACAGCAAATGTTTTCAAACTTCTAGCCAACCCACATGGCAGCAGCTTGTACAGCCTGCCAACATACTGTTCTGTTTTCTGTTATCTATGGTAAAGTGGAGCTTGCAGAAATGGCTGCTAAGCCCAAACATACAGAAACACACTCCTGCATATGCGTGAGAATGAGCAATAGCGTGAGGTGAACAAAAACACATCTCCTGTATAAAGAGAGGTAGATATAAAGGGTAAGCTGAGCCCTTTCCTACAATGGATAAATTAAAAAATTGCTGATTAAAACTTGCTGCTTTCAAACGTCATTTTAATTTGCAATTAAAATTGCCACTGCCCAACATACACCTAACACGGTTTACTACTTTTTTTTAATTAATTTTTAGAAGCCTTAGAACTTATCAATTCTGTTCACGTTAATTATCTTAACAACTTGATTAGTCTTAAGGTTTACCTGGACAGCAAAGTGCTTCAATCCCTGAGCCTTTTTCAGAACGGCACGTGGAGAGTTTCCAAACGGTAAGCTCAGTCTCGCAGGAATCGCCCCTCTTTTAAGGGGTGAGTTGGGAGGCAAACTTTTATCAAAAAGCTCTGGACTTAGATGACCACCAAAAGACACTCTCTTTCTTTTTCCTAAAGGCTGAAGTAACAAATCGCCACTTTTCCTCTTCTGAGATATCCTTTTTGTCTTGCCTAATAGAAATATTTTCAATTGTTATTTTTATTTCTAAGAATCCAAGTCAAAGTTTTCACCAGCACAGAAAGCAGTGATTACTGGTACATTTTAAAGTTGGAAACATATCAGAAGGCAACTTACCTTAAAGAGAAATAGATTCAATTGAGTAAACTTATGTACGTATTATTCTGTATTTTTTATGGCCAAATATAATTGCATCATAAATATTTTAGAACTAATATGTCAGCAATGCATTCTATGGTTTATGTATGTGGAAAAATTCTCATAAAAACGCTACAAGAATGGAATCAAATACAAAACCGCGGCAGGGGATTAAACATATTTACCTGATTCTTCTCCAGCCAACAGGCCAGAAATAGCCGTTTCTGAGCCAGCCTCATCGTCTTTCAGTACAGTAGGACTTTCTGAAGACCTTCTCTTTGATGACAATCTACGAGGTCTTATAACACCGGCATCTTCCAAATCTTGTTTCTGGACTTTCGTGGCCAGCTCTTCTTTAGTCCCGCTCTCTTTTCTGTCTGTAGTCCTATCGTGATGTTCTTCAACAGCATTTGTCTCCAGTGCTTTTTCAGTTAGCTGTCCAGAGGTCCTTGGCCTACCTCTTTTTCTTCCAGAGTCAGACTTCTGACCCGCAGGAGATGCCAGTTCTGTTGTCAACTCTTCTGAAGCCAGTGCCTCCGAAAGGACACTTTTGTCTGATACTTCTTTACTTCGCCTGTTATTTCTTCTGGGACTCCTGGAATTCGAAAAAGAGGCTGGAGTTTCAGAAAGTCCCTCTTCTGAGTTAACAGTGTGTGCCTGATCACAAATTTCTTTCAGCACTTCTTCTTTTACAGGTTTCCCTGGTGTATGCTGTTTACTATTTCGTCTTTGTTTTAAACATTTATTTTCCGCCAAAGGCAGTTGTTTGGGGCTATCATTTCTGCACACTGAATCTTCCCTTTGAGTTTCAGCTGAATCTTCTGAAAAAGACTTACATTTCAATGACACGCGGCGTCGAGTTGTTGGAGTATCAGTATTTACAGGATTCATTCCACTAGTTTCTTTGTTAGGCGATATGAAACGAGTCCGAGGACTCTTCCTTCTGGGCGATGCTGTAGACAGAACACATTTACCTAGTTCAGAAACATTTGTCGTGTTAGTTGTTTGTGCTGGTTTATCTACTGCTACTGGAGAGCTGTACATTTTCATTTTATCTGCATAATCCAAGCATTCTATAGAGCACGGCTTCATTGAAAATGCTGCGTTTCCATCATTCGCCTTACTGGGTTTGGTTGTAACTTCAGTAGCTTTAGATTTGACGGCTGTACTTAGTTCCTTATGATCCTGCGAGTGACTTTTACCAGTATCTCTTGACACCTCCTTTGAAACAGAAGTTTGAGGACTTCTGGTAAAACCGGTCTTGGCAGCACTTCCTACAGCTGAGATCTGGTTAAATTCTGAACCGATTACTTCTTGATTTATTTTAAATTCTTCAGTATTTTCACTTCTGGCCATTTCTTTTTCTTTAGTCAGGCTTCCTAGATCATAAACACAACTTGATGATGAAATTTGAGCACTTGGTTCTAGCAGAACCCTCTTACCGCCTTCTTTTGCAGCTTGTTGAGATACATTTCCCTCTTGCAGAGTTTTTTTCGCTTTAATCTCCTGTTTCAGTTTTTCATAGAGTTTACTGAAGGGAGACATTTCATTTTGCTTTTTACTAGATTGATGTATTCTGTGTGAAGATTTGGGTGTTTGTAGTTTGATGGGTAAAGCTTTGGAAATGTTTTCCTCTGTACTTTGTTTATTTTCACTGGCATTTTTTTCTTCGTACTCAGCATTATCTACAAAGTAAGCAAAGCAAAGCAAAACAAAAAGTAATACAGATGCAGAGTTACTTAAAAATTGCAGAACTACAGGTATGAGTTCCATAAATACAGATAAAAATTCCCTCCTTTCCTCTCCCAAGATGGTCAACCCAGGGTCCAGGATACAGTACTGTAACTAAAGCTCTATTAACAGTAACAATTTATCTCATAGGAGAAGTATTAGTATCTAAATGTTTAACAGAAATTTTAAGTTGTAATCTGGAATTTATCCCATACTGAGGCAAGGCAGTTGGTATTTCACGCTTTTGTTTTTCTTCAGAATCAATGGC